CGTGTCAATTGTACGAGTTTCACCACATTTTTCATAGAATTTTCGAAAATTATATGGCAATATATTCGCTAGATCTATTTACTGTCTGCGCTATTTCTCGAATAAATAATCAGACATCGTGTTATGCCTCTATTTTTGCTCGTTCCTCGCGACATTGTTCAATACTATATAATTATTACAAATTTTGTATATTGACTGTATACAAATTGACCCAATTCGTGAGATAATATTCATGTGTATAAAGAACATGTTGTCTATAAACAACCTACTGTTTTACAACAATGATACAGTGATTCTCGAAACCGTCAAAATGAACTTTCACAATCAGTTAATAATGTTCTAATATAAACTTAAACTCCTACAATGGTCTGGGAAACACTACAATATGACCTAAATTAATAGGATCCTTAAATCGATTTTTGTAACAAAATTTTATTTCCAAAGAAAATTGATAATTTGTTGAAACTTGTTGAAAACAAAATAACTGTTTTATACAGAAAGAAATAAGGAATGGAAAATATTTTTGGTACATTTTTTGTTAATAGCTTGAAACGTGGTATACTGAAAAATGGATGAAACGCCATTGTCATAACGAAAATGATCTAAAATCAATTGTTTCTTCTAATATGTAACTAACTAGCTAGTACAACAACGTTTTACTACGCCATGTTGCACCTTCATTTAGTATTTAATAAAATACAATATAGAATCTCCCATTAGAAGGGATATTGTTGCACTTGTTTTCCCAAAGTTACAATATATGTTAGAGATTGCTGTTTCTAACAATTCACGTAGGATGAAAAAATATAAGAATTTATGTTTAATAAAATTTACAAGCACCTGTTACAAATTTCTGCGTTACTATATGAATAAAATTCAATCTCGTATACCGTGTAACAAACCTTCTACAAATATAGGCTATTAGACAGATTATTTACACATCGCTTATAAGATAATTTCAAATGTACTTTTGCTCACACTCATAAAATATATTTTAATATCTTACAGTAAACGATTCAAATAATCAGTTCTACCTTGAAACAATTGAAAACTGCTTTCCAGACCACAAAACAATGAAATCTAACAGTAGATGTAATTGACTTTATATTTATCAAATAAGACCTATTACAATGTTTCATTGAATAGTAAGCAAAATAAAAGAAGAAACAAATTACTATTCCATAAATATAAAGTTAATTATGCCCGAAAAAATTGATCACTCTATAGTATAACTGGCTCCGCTACCCTATATTGCTGATTACTAAAGGGTTCCATCCCTTAGCAGCCAATGTCATTTTACTCAATCACTTATATCATATTTAGTCGTAATCACTTATATATCACTATTATATACATATGTAATCACTTCGCCGAGTACTCGCACTTACTCGTTGCATACAAACGTAAAAAGCGTAGGATCGACGTTGCATCAAGGTCTAAATTCTAGTGCTTATTTTGCCGAGGGGGCTGATGTGCCGTATCGTATTTTCTATATATAGTTTGTATATAGGTGGAGACGTCAGTGGCCATGACTCGGTGCAATAATATCTGTTTATTTATTTGGCGCAGACTACATCTGGAGAGGACGTGCGCGACTTCACAAGGGCACTTCGGAACAAATTCAAGTCGAAGAGATACTTCAAGAAACATCCGCGGGTTGGTTATTTGCCGGTGCAGACTGTGCTCGAGGGGGATGCACTGGAGAGTCCGGCGCCGTCGCCTCAGCACAGCTCCCTCAGCCAGGACATGCATTCTCGATTGGAGATGTACGCCTCCCGGCTCGCGGAGGTCGAGCTGTCGCGCACCAGAAGCAACTCGACGCCGGACAGCGACGACGAACATCAACTGATCGCGCATTATTGCCAGAGCTTGAACGGCGGCGACAATGTGAACGTGCCCAGGAGCCCCGTTCAAGTGATGGCTGCCATCGACGCCGAGCAAAGGGAGGAGCTCGAGGCGATGATCCGCGAGCTCGAGGAGGAGAACGCAACGCTCCAAGCGGAGTACGAACGACTACGCTCGAAGCAGACACCGGGCTCCACGCCCGAGGACGGCCACGGCAATCGGCAACCGGACTGCGACATGATCGCCGAAGCAAAATTGTTGAGACAGCATAAAGGCAGATTGGAGGCGCGCATGCAGATACTCGAGGATCATAATAGGCAACTGGAGGCGCAGCTGCAGAGACTCAGACAGCTCCTGGACGAGGTCAGTCGGATATCTCGACTCGCCAGGGTTTCCTTTATATGATAGATTTCATGACGACGTCTCATTTTTACAGCCGAATGCTTCATCGCCGTCGAAAACTGGCACTTTGCAGACACGAAGCGTAACCGCTTCGCAGCTGGCTACTGACTCTCCGGCGAAGATGAATGGCCATTACCATGATTCTCCAGGTAATTTTTGTTACTGATAAGTGACATAGCGAGAATATTTTATGTATGAAATATGTGTGTTTCGACGATTTAGGTCTCCGTTTGTCAGCTATTTTTATTTAACGCGATCAGGTATTTTCATTCATTCGTCGACCCTTATGGCTGCAGAACATGTGTACATAGGAACGATAGGAAGTGAGGTGGTTTTTAAATATTTCGAACCAGTATAAAGTTATAAGTTAGCAGCAACATTCGTCGGGTTACTGTATGCAATGATAGTAATACTAAAAATATTTGTATCGTTTTCTAGCTGAATAACAGCAAGATAGTCGATGAGAGAATGCGATTAGGTGAAAAATCATCCGTCTTTTACGCATATAGAGAAGGTTTTATAGCATGTAATAAATGATTGCATCGAAAATAGTGGATTTCGTGGTTTTAATAATATGATGTTTATAGATTTGAACGCAATTTATATCGTGTTTTTTTATTTAACCGTGTTTTACATAATAATACTGATATTTCTGCGAATGTTCTAGTGAAACGTATATGAAACAAGTATGGAAATTTGAAACACGTTAATACATTTTGAACAAATGTTTTCTCAACACAGCTATTTGAGAAATTTGATACTTTTTTGTATAAATTCTCGTATATATTTTTATTTATAAGTGAAAATCGAATGATTTTCGTTAAGAATCTCCATATACAATTTTACTTAATTTGGTTCATCAATGTTTGAGAAATATAATTTCGCATTCATATGACTAGCATTTCGAATTGTGTTGAAAGGTTTTAAGCATCATTGAAGCAAACGTCTATTTTGTGTCACAATTTCTCTAACATTATATATTTTTTAATTAAATTAAAAACTGCTATTTTCAACCCCTCTAGACGCATACCCTTAATGCTGCGTCCAAATATACATTCAATATTTTGTCGAAATATGAAAAGCACACGTATTGGGTGAAAATAAATGGAGGTCTCACGGTTCAGTAGTTTCTCACATACGAAAGGATGCAAAATTTTGATACGGCTTTTTTCAACTAAAAATTACTATTTAGTTGAATCATATTTAAAACAATCGTGTCGATGACACGCCTATTAGCACTCAACTAAATTAACAAAGTTCGACGCATATTAACGCATATTAACAAAGACGTTATCATAAGCTTATCGGTATGGGTATATGGGCGTAGGTGGTGGAGGCTCGAACGAGGGAAGAGTAAGCAGTTTAGAGAGGCCACCACCGCCACCGCATTCTCACAGCGTTGCCCATAACGTGGGTAATCTCTTACACATGGCAGGTTCGTTTCCCCTTGGCGTACTATTTTTAATCTAAATCATATTTATGTTGCCTTAAGCGAACTTCTTCATCTCGAACATTCTGTGCACGATCCAATTCTGCTTAACAATGACAATGCTTTCCTATTTTTTCACGCCACAGGATGGATGTAAGGTGAGACTCTCAACGCTTCTTTTCCTGCTGAATCTGCGATTCGCGCGAACACATGATCACATGTTCCATCTTCTTGAATTGTCGAACACACGTTAATGTTGCTGTTCAAATACCATGTTCATAATGCTCGGTCATACACGATCATGCACCGTGCATACTCGAATCATGACATAATTCTCTGCCCATCGCTTTCTGCCACTGTACATATTTTCGGTTGCTGTAACGAAATGTCGTTTGTACGAGATTAACATGGACATTCTTTATTATTTACAAAGCGTTATCTTAAAAATAAAACTATATTCAAGAACGTTAATTTTAACGATTTACTTTCTAAAATTATATAAAGATTTTGAAAATCTTTTTTATGATTCTTACACAGTTTTCAGTAGTGCATACGTTTTTCAGATTTAATGTAACAGAAAAACGATATTTCTTTCGCAACCTAATCATAAAGGTGGATCGATCACTTTTCTTGTTACTCGTGTATGTGTGCACGTGAAAATGGTGATTACCTGTATTTACTTATAGAGAATGCAACCGAATTTTTCGACCTAAATAATATTTTCAAAAAGTAAAATAAGAAGAAGTATAACATACTTTTAGTCGGAGACTCGTTCTTTGTTGAGTTGTTTAGAGAATTTGCAAAAATTTGTTTCACAGTAAGAATTGATCTTTAAAAAAAAAAAATATATATATATATATAAAGGACCGCTGAATCATTCTAGGAAAAGAGACATGTTAATTTTTCTTTTTTTAGGGGACTTAGGAAAGGCTGTCGGCGAGTTGGTGACGGCGATGACCAGCGACGATACGACAAAAACGAACGGGCAAAGAGCGCCTCCGCCGGCTTTTAAGTAACGATTACGAAAAGATCCCATGGTCTTGGACCGTTAAAGATGTTGGAGCGACGTCAACGAGGAGACGAAGAGAATTAGATTGATATCGTAGAAAGATGAGAAAAAAATATCGACGAACTTCGAATCTTTTATCATCAGTGACCAATAAGAAGTCTGGCTCTAAACGCATATCAAGAGGGACGATAATATCGCGCAAATGCAGGGTCAGGGGCGCCGTCATAGTGGTTTTGGGTATTTTATAAGTTTTGATATACACCGTTGTATAGCTAAATTATATTAATAAGACAATTTATGGTTTGGCTTTGACGGGCCCCTGAGAGTAACTTTACTACATATTGACACGTCATATCATTGAGACTAATCGTACGAAGGATGAGATAAAGGGGGGAGGGAGGGGGGTGGGGAGAAAATTTAAGGCGTCAGTTGTTAAATGCTTGCTAGTTAATCTATACGACAAGGGACGATGAAGAAATTAACGAAGATGAATATAATGATTATAAAATGAATTATCATGAAAGGATTAAAAAAAAAAAAGAAGTATCATTAAGAATGCATGCAAAAGCAATGTATCAAATCACATAATCTATTATAGATCGTAGGTTACATTTACATACCCATTCTGTTCACTGCCACGGGCTCTTCCTCGACATTTCTGACAGAAACACGATATGTACATGTTGTGTATCTAGAACGACACACGCGGAGGAAAATCGGAGAAACGCGGGGAACACGCGAAAGGAAATCGATATTGAACGGTCGCTCGCGCGCATGTTTGTCTGGTATCTTTCCGTGACAAGTGCTAAACGGAGATCTTGAATTTTCTATCGGACACGCACATATATACGTGGACACAGTACATATCGTTACACGCGCTCGCGCGCGGATCATACATATTACATATACATATTACATATACATATTATACATATACATAATCACACCGACACACTGGGGACTTTTTTGTAATCGATAATAAAAGAAAACAAGAAGCAAAGCAATGTGCATTACGACTCTTCAGATTTATATTTTATCCGGTTGCAATCGTTTTTTCATATTTTTTAATGGACTTTAGATGGCAATGTCTCTTATTTAAGCCTGCCGGATGTTACTTATATTTAAGAGTATATCGATAAGTATCTAATTTACAAACTGTAGGCTGTATTCTGATATGTAATAAAGTTGTCTAGAAAATAATTACCACCGTGTCTATTGTTTCTCCCTATTATCGGACGAAATAAGAACTAAATAAATCTAAATAAATTTCGGAACAGTTGAGAAAACGAACGAAAGCATTTATTTGAGATTTATTTATGTTCAGAATTTTATTACGGTTAAAAGATGTCTCGTCATGCGCGCGTAATGATACAGCGCTAATTGCTGTATTTACAAACTACCTTCGCAATCAGTAATCATGTCAATTTAATAAAGAAACAAGCAAAAAAAAGATGATTTAAATGAAGTAGATTGATCAATTAGCTCTCGCAAAACCGAATTCTTCGACCCGAAGACCATCTAGGTTGCAAGGACGTCACCTTGACCGGTTTTAATTCGATCCGGTTTTAATCATCCTTCGATGGAAATCGTAAGTGAATCGACGAGCAAGAAAGGATCGAGTGGTCAGGCGTGATTGCACCTGGCATGCGTGAGACGGTGCCGTGAAAGATTGGATGTCGATACTCCCTTAGAAAGCGTTGGAATCAATCGTATCATACCGATGCGTTCGCTTGAAAAATATATCTTATGAATCGTAATTGAAAGAAAAAACAATGCTTGAAAGAATCCGAGTGACCGATTAAAAAACATTCGAATGTATTATGTTCGACTGATGTCATCAATTTTTTTATATCAAAGCACGCAACATTCCTCCAAAGTTTGTGCTTGTTCGACGAAATTCGAAGCAGAAGCGAAAGAGGCTAAATGAGACGATAAGTGCGTATGAATTCATCGCGGATTAAAAGAACGAAAGTATCTAATATCTTTAACGCGATTAAAATTTTCGTCTATTTTTTTTTAAATACTTTCCGTTCGCGACAGATTTAATTTTATCAGCTGAATATAATCGAAACGTTGAGTTTAATATTTGGACAAAAATATTTATTCTATTGTCAAAAATGTCCTTCATATAATCACATTTATTTTACAACCTTTATTCTCAATGAGGATCATTCAATTTCATAGTGTTTTAATGATAAAATGGTATTTGTTATGAAACTAGATTATTTGTTATTTACTATACTAGATTATTTGTTAGATTATTATTTGTTATCAAACTAGACTTGCCACAGAGATATATTCTAATTACTTAT